GCTAGCTCGTAGGCTTTCCGCTTCGCCAGCCTGTGTCCCACGACTTCCTGCTGGCAGGCTGTCTGCATGAGCTCCACCATATCAATCCAAGGGTAGCCCTCCTCAACAATGTCTTGGATGCTCCGCAATGCACTGCAAGACTCCACCAAATTCGGCACATGAACCTGGAGACTGTCCTCCTGCACTCGCACTTCCACTGCGGCCTTTGGCAGACACACCGTCTGAGCAGCACGAACGAAAATCCGAGCGAGAGCTCGGAGCAGCATGGTTGCTTTTGCAGCCACAATCTCCGCACCCGCCTTCCAACCACTCCTCGAGCTGATCTTTCTGCAGGACAGATGCAACAGAAAGACCAGCATCATCATCATGGACATGGTGTACTCTCCTGCAGGCGAAGTTTCCAGCGACCCGCTGCTCTTTCGTCTCACCGGCCGGAGCGGCCCATCGTCTCCGGCCTCTGCCTCTGCCTCGTCGGCCTCCTCGTTCTCGTCCAGGGATGCTTCCGAAGCCTTCCTCTTGATCTTGTTTCTCACTGTTTGGGAATGCTTGCTTGTCATTATTTCGGAACGCCTGCTTTTCGTCAGATGCTTGTCCGATATCTGCTTGATATCTGCCTCGGTCAAGCCAGGTGTGGTGGCTAATGCTTGCAGGTAGCCCATCAGCTTGTTGCTGAGGGATTGCGATACATGGCTTGAGAAATTGTGGTCTCTATGGCCTCCGAGGAAGGATACCACCCACCTCGTGTGCCAAAAGCAAGTACCCGTTGATAATTCGCCCACCACCCTGGGTACTTTGTGGATCGCGATCTCGGCCCGGAAGAGATTGCCTTGGTGGGTTTCCATGGTGAGGGCGCTGCCGCGAATGTCCTGGGAGCACTGTTCCCAGGATGTGGCGAGGCCCGTGCTGTGTTCCAGCAGTTCGTTGTCCTGCTTGGAGTACCGCATAATGGAAGCGACAGCTTCTTCTTTCTGCTCACCATCCTCGTCAGTGTACTTCAGCACACTGCCCTCTGCAGTCTGCTGTATCTCGAAATCCGTCCACGCTGTGGAGTCTGGTAGTGCGACTAGCTCTCCTGTCACTGTGTTGTGCAGAGCGAGTCCTTTGCTGTATCTTCGAAAGTGCAGGTCTTCTTCAATGTC